TAATAACACAAGTCATGATCATCAGTATTGCTACAGACCAAGCCTCTACTTACATGCCCTGCTAACAAATATTTCTTTCAAAGAGGCTTTTCTCCTCTTAAGACTTAAAGTAAGAAATTCAACATTATTAAATCAGTTAAACACACTATGATTTTATATAATAATTTGAATAAAGCTATTCTTTGAAATGAGAACTACTAGGTCCTAAAACCTCTAAACCAAAATATTTCCATCAAAACAGTTCTGTTGAAGGCCAATGACATGCTGAATGCTTATAGGCCAAGTTGCTTGCATTATGTATGTTTAATCCTTCTCCGTCACTGCTTTTAGAGCCTTGGAAGGCTGAGTGTGGTAGTTAGTAGAGGTAACGCTAATGGATATTTAAAGGAGACTGCCTCCCTTTTGAAGACATATATATGGACTGCCCTCTGCATGAGGCACAGCAGTAGAGCTATCTGATTCCCAGACTCGGAAACTCTCCCCTTCAGACTGTTACCAAATGTAAGGTGGTTAATTAAAGGCAATTCATTGATGCTCAGATAGAGAGGCATTGACTGTATTGGAACAGATGGGCTCTCTACTACAAAAGTCCTTGGGTATTTGTTTTTTATGTAGCAATCAGTAAAGTGGATAGAAAGATACTAGTAGGAAACCATTCCTTGGGAAAGCAGACATATTTACAATCTTGGGTGGTTTTTTTTTCCTTTTCTGCTCACTTGGATGACTTTCTAATTTTTTTTTCTTACATTGTTATATCAGAGTTATAAATAAGCACTATGTTAGGGCTTGATAGAGGTGAGGCCCCTCACAAAGTTCTTGATATATGTTCAATATACATATCACAACTTTGGTAAATAGGGTAATAACCTGAAGAGCTTTTGCCCTTTTTGTCCCATGTAATGAATGTACTCTTGTTTCTAAGTAACCATCCTCTCCCAACAAACCTCTCGAGTGTCTGTGCAAGGACCAGCACGTGTCCTAACAAATTGTCACCATTGCATTTTGACACCCAGCTTGCTGTTTTTTTATAACATGTTAACTTTATCATTTTCTTCTCATTACTATAAAAGAATCTATGTACATTAGAAAAATAAAAAGTGGAGAAAAGCATAAACAGAAAAAAATCGTGTTTACTTCCACCACCCTAAATCAACTATTATTAATTTTTGACATATTTTACTCTACTCTTTTTTTCTGGGTGTTCATATATTCTTGAAATAACAATGTATACGTTGTTTTATATCCTACTATTTCACTGGTAACATAATGTTTTCCAATGTCAT